CACCACAAAACCAGGAGACAGAGCCTGAGCTGAAATATCAGCTGGGGGGGATTGGGAAAGATCATAAAGAACTGAAGGAGCAACTTACAGAATGTAAAAACTGCTGGAGTGAGCTCATCAGCAGGGTACACGGCAGCTGAATTGTATAGCAGGCTATACTACTGAGAAAGGGGACCAGCACAAAGCAATGCTTGTGCAAGTTCAGGTACTTTGTGAGGTTGTGCTGTTCAAATCCTGCCAAAAATAATCCCAGCGTTCAGGAGGAACTGTACACTTACACAAGAGGGACCATACTTCAGAGCAGGAACACGCAGCCAGGATCTCAATTACAAAACTCTATTGCACAGATGTGCTGGTTATACATGATACCAGTAAAACATTGCTGTAAGCCACAAAGTCAAAGTCAAAGCCAAAGTCTGTAGTGCCTTCAGAGGCAGAACCTACGACTGGGTCATTTAAAGTTACCTTTTGTTTATACTTTTATGAATAGCTTTAAGTATAGCCTTCACCACAAACCCCAGCTTCCCCAGTTTGCACTGGAGTTTCCATTTAGCATTTGCCACCCACCACTCGCTCCTGGGGTTCGGTGCCAGCTCACTGCATCCCACTGTGCCAGTCACCCTCACCATGCCATCCCCACCGTGCCATCCCCACCTCCCAGCTTCCAGTGCAGCGCTATGGCAGTGTTACAGTATTTGACCACTTACCTTTGAAATACGCCTTTGTCCATGCTCCTTGCAGTCATGACACACAGTGACATGGGCATTGTCCTGTTGCTGAACATCTCCGTGCCACCCCCTCCCCGTAACACACCTAACAGGGAGCAGGAAGGACCTGGCCAGAATGCAGCCAGGCCAGTGGTCCCTGCATTGCACTACAGCCCACTCCCCAGGGGGTTTTTTGGCATGCATTTGTAACCAGGGTCTGAAGCTGGTTGTGCAGCAGGGGTGGGGACACCAGGAGCTGCTGAGGTGTTGGTGGGTACAGCACCAGCCCAGGCTCCCTCTGCCCATCCTGCCCAACCCCGTACCGCTTTCTTTGCTCCTCAGTAAATGGCAATCAACAAAGGAGAAATATTGACTTCCTCAGCTGCTGCCAGCTGCCCTGGTTCAATAACTATGTCAGCTAAAGGTTAAGCCAGCCAAGGCATGAGCAGCAAGTTAAAATTTAAAAATAAATAAAACCACAACCAAAGCCTAGGGGGAAGCCTGGAGCAGATTCCCAGGCTCACCTGGCCATAGCTCACCCATCCCTCGCCTCACAGGGCTCACGGGCCACACCACAGCCATGCACACTGAAGCCACCTCACATCTAGGGGGCTAAACGCACCTCAGATGTGAATCAGTAACATTAAACCAGGCTGTTTGCTTTCACGTACCCTGCTGTGATTGATATATTAACTTTTTTCATTATGTAGTAAATCACGTCAGAAAACATAGTCCAATTTGAAATTTTACCATTTACTAAGCCTAATACAACTCTAAGGACATTACACAGTATTCGTCTGCATTTTCTTAAGTCTGGTTTAACATAATTTCACACACAGTTTTTAATTTGCCTAGTGGCACATAATTGCATTTGAAGCTTAAGATTTTGCAGCTTTGGTGGGAAAGACACATCTAGCTTTCCACGCTCATGTAGGGAATACATACTTTGGAGATAGTGTAATCTGAAATTCTTCCACTGAGAGAACCAGAATGACAACTAGTGAAACGGCCTGTGAAGCTCAGAGTTTTTAAGCAGTAAAAACATAATTCCTGTGCTAGTACTGCCACCTATTGAAAAAGAGGAGACACATCCATCATCAATCCCTCTTCTCCCTCTCTGGTTTTTGTTGCAATCCTTTCATGTATACTTTCTCCTCACTGCTCTCTTTAATAGCATTATCACAGAAAAAAGTGCAAATAAACCAAAACCAACTGATATGTCAACTATGTCTGTAGAACAGAGGATAAAGTCTCTCCAGAACAAAATCACCACTCGCAGCCCCCCATGTGTGGTGGCAGGGAGCTACTGGAGTCCTACAGTGACCTGATCCAGTACGTAAGCAGAGCAGGTGTAACTATATAATCACGTGTGACGGATGCACTCAACCCTGTAACTAAACTAGCACTAGTTTCACTAGTTTACTCATTAGTAAAACCAAGATGAGGTGTGAGAAGGATGTAAGGGATGTCCATGGTTCTACAAAAAGACCCAGAGAGGCCTTTTCATAAACTTTGCTAATATGAATTAAAGTGTTTTTAGGAGACCAACTCTAACTTAAAAAAAAAATGTTCCTCCTCTTCTTCAATTAGCAAAATTATTCTCTATCCTCAGTTATCAAAAGCCCAGCCTTGCTTAAGACTAAAAGAGGAGTAAGTTTGTTTGGTTTTTTTTACACTTATAATTTTAGTTTCTGGAAACTGGAATTAACTATGCTTTTCTACTGAAAAACACCACATAAATTATGCCTTTCTGAGCTGTATAGACCCTAGGGTTTCATTAAGTGACTGCATCTCCTGTACAGCTGAGGTGAAAAATGTACAGGGATGATACAGATGGAAAGGTCATTAACAGAACTAGAGAAATCCGTCTGCAACTCTCACTCTGTAAAGGTTTTATGTAACAGCTCTAGCTAACTGAGATGCTATTGAATAGCAGGCAGATGCTGAAAGTCTTCTAATGCTTTCCAAAGCCTGGATTTATGGATAAGGGGACAAATCATTGTATTGCTTATAGCCTGATGGATGAAGAGTGCAGAGTTCTAGAGTCTTGTGATTTATTAAATATGGATGTTGTTATGGGTTCTTTCAAAATGAGGAAAGACAGCTCAAAGAATGATTTATTCTGCATTTAGCACAATCGGTTTCAGAAATGAGCAAGTTAATACAGTTGTTTCCAGAAGTTCTTGAAAAATTTAAGGAATAAGCATTTTTCAATTAAATATCATTAGGAAAAAGTTAAAGATACTACAAAGGTGATAAGATATCATTTGGTTAATTAGAGTTACCCCTTGATAGCTTTAGTTAGGACTTCTCACGCAGTATTTTTGTGTTTCCCTTGGGCTAATTCTTCATCTTATTTACTAATTTTGCTAAATACATGGTAAAGAAACAAGCTGTAGCAATTTGACCACTAGGCTCAGGCAGCACAAAATCAAAAAATCTAAATAACAACAGCACAACTTACACAACTTCATTGTTAGGTTCCATTGTATTTGAGAAGCCTGTTTGTAAGCAAAGGTATCTTTTCTTTGATTACACTTTACAGAATTGTTACCGCCTGCAATTGCAATTCTGCTTAAGATAGAAGAGTTGCAATATTTTTTTCCTCACATTCTTCCCTTACTGCTCTACAGACATGTATGTGAATTTTTCTACCTAATTTTGTATGCAAGGTTGTTGGGACAATGGTGCTTCCAACACTTCCAGTGAATACCTAAACACAACATTTGAACATAAAATCTTGAATTACTTGCAGGAATGAAAATAAAGTCTCCTGGTTATGTCCCATTAGCTCTAAGTCCTAATACCTTACTTAAATTTGCATACACTCCCCAGTTTAATGTCAAGGGATGAATTTATGATGCAAGATGCTTTTCAGTATAGGCAAATGTATCACTGTTTTGCCTACTTGCAAAATATTATTCCATCCATTCTTCAAACAGCCACAAACAGACCTCGCTGTAATGCAAAAAGTAAATTTAAATTCTATGCAGGACCTGCCATGGAATTAAGCATTTTCAAATCTCTCCAAAAAAAGGTTTATGTAATATCTGAGTAACTCTGGTCTCTGTTGAAAGTGCAGCTATTGAATGTGATTGAGCCTGGGACTCCAGGGCAATGGGCAGAAATGAAGCTGTGTGTCATCCCTTGCAGGAAAAATAATAGCCATGGGCTTAGCCATATAAATCCCTACAGGACAGGTCTGATCCTGGGTGTGCTACTTTGGTTTCTATACATATAGTGTCTATTCCTAACTGAAGCAATCAGAAACTTTCAGCAGATTTTAGCAAGACCCAATTTCTGGTATCTTATTAATAGCTGGTCAATAAAACACAAAATAATTTCAAAATAACAATAATTTAAGTCCCTCAGAATCGTGCTGATGAATCAAAAATGCACTTCCAACAATCCCTATTACTAAAGACACCATAATCAAGGAATTTTGTCTTTAGCAGTAGAAGCTAACTTTAATAAGGCATAATATACAATTTTGAAGACTTTCAGAATGGTATAGACTGTTGTCATGAATTTGTACAACTCTTACAACATCAAAGAGAGACCAAGTACATAGCAGCAATGGCACCCCTCTTTTCCTCTGCGTTCTGACTGGCCAGATCGACAAATTGAAAATACTGAACAAAAGGAATCTTTGTCAAAATTAGAATACAACTGAAAATATTGGAAGGACCTCTCCCTAGAGCTGGATCCCAAGAACCACTATATGCCTGTGCTTGTGTGAAGCTGGGGTAAGAAACAGCAATTTTATCTATTACTTGCCCATTTAAATAAAGCTATAAATGCTAAGAAATAGACCTGCCATTTCATGCATCTGCTTTTGAATGGAATTGTTCTGTTTATTATTCTTGTGCCCTCACACCTACAGACAGACTTACAATCTGTGAAAACCATGGACTAAATGAAGAGGAAAGAGGACTGGAGAAACTGAAAAGTAAGTAACTATTTTTTCCTTGCCTCCGGAAAAAACACACTCATGCACAAAGCAATTACCAAAGGATTATTAAAACAGAAGCAGGCATTTATATTTCCTGTCTCCTCTTAACTTCTGTTGGTGAAAATCAAAGCCTAAGTTTCAAAACAACCCAAATTATGAAACTAAGTTACACTAATGGAGTCATATTTGACAGCAGATTTATGACTAGATTAATAAAATTTTACAGTGGTTTCTGATAGTTCTTTTCACTTAGATTGCTTTGTTTTGAACCTATATATTTGATAAGAAGTTGGGAAAAACTTCTGGAATGTGAACACTGAGGCAAAACTACCAAAGAAGGATACAAAGGAAAAGATCAGGACGCCTTTATTAGGTTTACTGCTTACATTAATATTGAAGTAGTCCTCCTTTTTAGGCATTAAAGTAACTATAAGGAGTTATTTTACAATTCCAAATTTCTTGGGAAAAGATTTCTTGGGAAAATATTCCTATAAATCACAGCATTGATCTGTACAGACGAAACGTTGTTTGGATAGTACAAATTATTTAATCAGATTACAAAAAAAAAAAAAGACCATAAAGCTTTTAGTTTACAGAATATAACTAGAAGCACAATATGTACATTTCTAATATTCTTACTGAAGCTCTGCAATCCACTGGGCACTTGGGAGATTAATGTTCTTCATCTTTCTATACAAAACTTCTAGATTTCACTGCCAAACTCCTGCTCGCTGTTTACTATCAGCAGCATGCTCAAAAAACATGAAGTCCTAAGAAGGAAACAAAAAAACAAACAAAACACATACTTCATAAATGCAAGTCTTAGTTCAGAGATTTCCTGGTTGCTTTGCAAGGTATTAAAAGCGCCGCCTTCTCAGAAACCTCGAATGATGACAAGTTAGGACCACCTCTCTCCACTCCCCCATCACTCAGGTCTGTCAGAATAGGACACCCACAGAGAGAAAAAGATGTGGCGAAAGACCTACATGGAAACTTGAAATTATCACTAGCCAAAGCTATGCTTCTGTTACTCAGGATTCCTGTCCTGGCTTTGTTCAGCCTGACTCAGCCCCTTCAATTTTACCTCAAACTGCAGTCCATCATAATGACGATTATCTTTAGTTTACAGCTGGGGGTCCCATTTTCTGTGGCTGGGTTGCTCATGCTCACTAACACTGTACTCACCCTCTGCAGCCCCACCAGGACAGAAGCAGTACGCGTTTTGAAATGGCACCTGATGCCCAATTGCACCAGAAAGTGGAAACACTAGTGTGTCACACACTGTTTTCAAAGACCAAAGTGAGCTGTGCAGCAGTATTTGACATGGCAGAGTCAAGAGTGCAGCTGAAAGGCACTGTATCAAATTGGATTGCTTTGCCTCCACAGAAGTTCCTCCTATTGAGAACATTTAATCCTGCTCAGCTCAGTACTTTGTATACTTCCAAGGAGAACTGGGAGGAACTGGCTGCAGCACCCACCTGCCCAGTTCACCAGCTCAGTGGGCTGCTCTGCCTTTCGATGGCTCTCTTGGCTATTGCTGATCTGAACTTCTCTGGTTTCACCATCCCCATAAACATGCTCGACTACTAATATGTCTGTAGGGAGTCTTCCTTTTATAGGGTTTCTCAGTCCCATCACATATGAAGCTCTCCTTAAATACAGTTAGCGCTTCATGTAGTCTAGAATAAGCTTATTATCTGAAATAATTCTTCCTTGCCCTCCACAGTTAGTTTTACACACAGGAAGTTCACAACAAGCTGTCACCCATTTCAGGGAGCTCAGAGTCAAATCCTTTACCAGCACAACTTGAACACAAAGATGAAAAAGTCAGTTCATAGTCAAGTATTAGGGAGCGATAGACTTACAATAAGGAAGCAAGCACCAATCATGACAGCTTTCATTTTTACATCAAGGTCCATTGGGAATGTGATTCCAAAGTTATCCGCATCTGTAAGGGCTTCTTTCACAAACCCAGTCCACTGCTTAGAAATCCTCCCAACAGCACAAGTCTCATCCACAGATTTCACCTAGTTTAATATAAAATTAAAAAAACAACATCAAATCTGTCATTCATGATATTCCCAAATCCTTTTCATAATAGATCCATTTGAAAGCTTCAGACCATGTTACTTGAATTAATGCAGTCATTGCATGCAACTCTTTGTACCAAAAGGCAACCCTGACTATCAGAAAGTCAGTCTTAAGTAGCACAGACATGAACTTAATTCTAAACCTGACTGCAGAGCTCAGTGCTTTAATGGTGTTGGAAGACAGCTACCACACGCACGCACACACACTCTGCTGGAAGTGTTGTCTTTTAGCCAAGAGAGTGAATTAGTTTCTCCTGCCATGTATCAGGAACTGCTCAAGTGAAAATTAAACAAATTACATTCTTCTGCTCCAAAGCGGAGATTAGCCCTTTGTCAACATGATGTTTCCTAAAGTTAGATCCAGTCTTCATGGTTGCGTGAAAGACTAGTTCCCAAAATAAAATGATACTAAATTTGCATTAGCAGCTATTTGCAACATCATTTTAAATACTGAATGGTAGACTGGTATATCTACTACTACATTTGTACAAAAACAATAATGCGTTAATCACTATTATTTTTTAAGTGAAAGGTGTAACACTTCAGTCATTCAAACCTGTATTTTAGGTCTAAATTATCTTGATTTAGTTGGTCATTGAATGATTATTAAATGATTAAATGAGTGGTTGTAGAAATTCATTTTAATATCTGATACAGCTGAGAATAACATTTTATTAGGGCCTAACATAATAGATTCAAATAGATATTGCTGCTAAATATTTCAATTAAGAGATCTGTGTGCAAACACAGGGAATCAGTCTCACTGATCGCTGATGAATGGTCTTAAGATGTCATTTCTGGAAGTTTGTCTGGCTTATCCAGAGAAGTGAATTGATTATATTTGCATTAAAAGATTATGTATTAAGTAATTAACACATACAACAATTCCGTTGACAGGTAACAAGTAAAGCAACAAACTACTATCAAATTACTATCTGAAAGAAGCTACGTACAATTTTTAGCATTGCATACCTCAAAATTAATGTCCTCACAACAGCTACAGACAACACACGGGCCAGCAATTTTCAGTATATCCATTCTTTTCTCATCTTGAATGGTAAACTTTGGCAGGCAGGGATGCCAGTTCTGGACAACATAACCAACTGGTGTTCCTGGAGGTGCCTGAACTTCTAGCTTCACAGGAAAAAAAAACCTCCATGTGAATGTTCATGCTTTGATATCCTTCTTAGACACAACCCACACTAGCACACAAACCAACCATGACATTTTTTCCACAACAATCTGGCTTTCCAACGCATGAAGCTGCAGGGGGGTTTTTGCGAATGTTTTTAGAAAACTGCACAAATTGCAGACCTCATATACAGCTTTTGCCTTGACAGAAAAAAAAAAAAGAAAAGATGGTCCTAAGGCTATATGTACACAAGCTATATATCTACAGTAGAAAGACCAAAGTCTAGTGAAAGAAAGGCTGTGAGCATCCTGAAAGCATTCAGTGAAGACATCACAGGATGCAGCTACTACAAATCCCTCAGTAAGAGCTTTGAGTAGGCTCACATTTGAGACTTCAGAAGTTGTATCACCCCATAATAATTTTAATACTAAAAAAGCTCATTTCTTGTGCTGAATTCTACAACAACTTTCACAGCAGTACAGTGACAACTCTAGCTGTTATTTTATGAAAGCTGTTGCCCAACTCTTACACTGCAAGTCCATCTCCAGCGCAGATTTCAGCACTAGCCACAAGTTTCCTGACATGCTGACGAATCCAGTTTTTCCATTACCATCACCAGAAGTTGCAGCACACTAGTTTCTTCCCAGACCAAGACGACCTCATGCACAAATCCCTAACAAATGTCTCTCCCCACAGCTTACAGAAAAAAGCCAACTTGTTTCACCTCGCCTCCTGATTCAAGACAATCCCATCCTAAAACTGCAGAGGTGGACCACATCCCACGTGAAGGAAGATGGTGAGAGGGAGCAACTCACCTCCTGTAAGCAGCAGGGAAAGCAGCACGAAGAGCACCGGAGGGGTCTCTGCAGCGTTATCACCTCACGGCCCAGGTTGTCTGTAATCCGGAGGGTGAAGGGTCGTGCTGGCCCACAACAATTCCTGGTACAGCAGTCAGTGTCCTCTTCTGCAAAATACACCCTTTGCCCCAGAGTATTCTTGATTTCATATTTGTTTTTTGTTTCAAAGCCAGTCAAAACTGAAAAACAAGGACAAACCTGTTAAATTTCTGAGGTGTGTCTGCTTCAAAAAGTCACCATGCTAACTCTACAGCTACTCTAAGCTCTAAAGCTTTTGGAAGGCACTTCTCAGAGTCTCCCAGAGGCAGCTACTGGTAAAGTGAAGTGTTGGGGAAGGACCCTCAAGCAAAGCAGCCTGATGGACTTCAGAGAGGAGAAGCCACTATGTACATGGCAACGCAGAAAGAGCATGGAGATATCCATCAGTCCCCTCCCACCAGATACAGACACCTACAAGCACCACAATTATAAATAACACAGCATGGAAGCATCTCAGGGAAGAGGTGAAGAGAAGAGAACTGAAGAAACTTGTGAAGTTTGGGGTGAAGCAAGAAAAGGGCCGTAGAGGGCACAAACACATTCAGAATAAGGCGGCCACAAAAACAAAGCCTCACAGTCAAGAACCCCAGCACCACAAATAGAAAACAAGAGCCAAGACAGAAATTTTAATTAATTGCTCTAACAAATAAAAGTACTCTTTGAAGCATTATGGACACCTAATGCAGCAGCAGTATTAGGTGTCAGCTGAGATGGATGGTACATTTTATTTCTTCTGTTTGAAAGACACTGATAACATTACTTTGATATTCTTAAAGTGAACAGAACAAGAAAAGCAGAAAGAAAGCAGTTCAATTCGCTAAAACAGCAGGATTGCCTGGAAACAGGATCAGAGCTGCATGGAAGTCTATGGAATTAGATAAAGTAAGAGAGGACAGAAAAGAAGATCTTAAGTAGGGAAGAAAGGCAAGTAGAAATCGTGTGAATGTGTGACTTCAGCTACAACTAGCTACCAACATGATTCAGTTGCATTGCTATGTATCTTTTAAGATATAGAACCTGCTTAAAATTCTCCACCCTCCTATTTTCTCCTTCCTCTCTTCCACAACTTCTGCAGGAATTGAGACAGACAACAGAGGCAGGAAAGAGAAAGCCAGCAAACCACCTTAAATAAGTAGTGTCAACGTCTAAATTTTACTGTGCTTGGGATTATTAGATTTAAGTGTTTCTCTGTTATAAATACTTTTCACTTACTCTCAAGAAGTTCAATTTGCTGATGAATTAATATCTGGTCAATCTGTTCATGGTTGAAAAATTAAACAGAATAAATAGTTAACAAGTTGTAACTAAGAGAAATCTAGTTTTAAGAAGCGTGGTTTCATTTCAGACTGCAGATTTATGGAACAACACATTGCCTAGAGGCAGAACATCTACCAGTTAAGTTGTGGAAGTTGCTCATGTCCCCCCTTGTCCTGTCCTCTGTCAATTTAGCAGAACAGCGTTTCAGAGCACCGGAGCAGATGGCAGAAGTTGTACCCGAGCTGGTGTGTTACAAGGGGGCAGGGTGAGCGTGCCCCTGCTCCCTTCAGGGCTCAGAGTAGCTCAGCCACAGAGCCCAAGAGAGCCTCCCACACCACATACCCCAGCTGCCTACGTCAGGAGTCCAGACTGACAAAAGCAGGAAACTGAGAAATTTTAGAGCAGAAGCTCAGCTACTGCCCAGCTCCAAGTAAAACTGGGGAAAAATCAGCCTTTCCTCACTGGTGCTTTTTTTTTGTTTGGTTGGTTTTGAGAAATTTGCAAAACCAGAGACAATCCATCAGTGTTAAGCCTTAATATTTGCTCCCAGTGATGAGATGAACTGTACTTTTACAGCACAAGGACATACTCTGCAACGTGGAAACAATTCTTATTTTGCTATTAGCATTCTCTATGTTGTGAAATCTGACTAGCACCTCATCTGACAGCATTATGAAGAGGCGTGAAGAAAGCATCATGTAGAAAATGAAGCACCTCTAATGTGCTACAGTTGCCCATATTATATATATTTATTACATACACCTTGCCAAATCACATTACATCTCACAAACAATAGCTTTACAATGGGAGGGATGTATGATAGCCCTGTGCCCCCCCTTCAGCATCTCACTTGGCAGGAGAGCACTCCATGAAGTGCTGCAGCCGTAAAAGGCACCTCCACACTCAAACATGTATCACCCACATTACAAAAGGCTTCCCTTAGGCTGCTCGAAACAGCAACCTGCGCAGCTGCCACAGAACCAGAGGCTTCTTTTTAGCTATTTCAGGGATGCAGGCTGCTTCTCAGGATAACCTGTTCTCTGGGGAAGGAGGAAGGGTGCAGGTACCTGTGTGAGGTATTCCAGGCCAGGAGGGCAGTTGGGAAAAGCTGGAGGGACGGGCATCCAGATTGTCCCTTCCTTTCCGATGGGCTGGTTCTGGATGGGTGGAGCAGCAAATCCAGGTGGAACTGGACTTGCGGCCTGTACCTGGAAGCCATAGTACCCCGCGTCTGCGACACCTGGTGCTGCAGGAGAGATGCAGTTATGAAACTTAGATGTCGGAAAAAAATTGCCCCATGGATCTTTGAAAGATTCATTTGTTTACTGTTTTGACCCATGAAGATCCTTATGCCCACAATATATTTCAGTTATGAATACGGCAGCTCTTGTGAGGGAGGTTACACTGGATTGGCATGTTCTAATCCCTCTGGACAAAACCAAACCAAATAAATAAATGCATCATTCTTGAGTATAGCAGAAATTTTATTCACATAAAGATAGGCAGTTCAGAAATTAGAAATTAATAAATGAAGGTTAAGTAGAGAAGACAGAGTATCTTTAAAAACATGAAAAGTATTGGCATTTACACATTGTCAGTTGAGCAAATGAGGAATTTTATGATAAAATTTTCCTGGAATTATCCTTCTACTTATGTGATAGGAAACATACTTTAAGCAAAGTTTATCTGCAGGTTTCAAACCACGTTAACTGTTATCTAAAAACTGCACTTTCCCATTTGTTTAACGGATTCTCTTTCAAAACACGGGAAATCCACAACTCCCTTCATGGAACATTGTTCCGCGTTTTGAGAATGTCAAGTAAGTCTCCTCTGGGTGGCACTCAGCAGGAAACACAAGCTCTCCTGAAGCACTCCAGGGTCTGAATGCTCAGCACCCACCAGGTGGCACAGGCAGCCTCAGTGCTCACCACCCATCCCTCCTCCCCAGGCTGCTCCAGAGCCCTGCCCTTGGCCTGGGTACCCTCCTGCAGAACATGCCCTTTGCTACAGAGACACCTTATGACCTTGTAGCAGAAGCTGTTATTGAAAGTTAGAGAACAAGAACTGTATTTTTTCCTCTCATTTCTCTCAACACTTTCCTGATAAGGCCTTCAATCTGGAATTTTATATTTTACTCAGAAGCAAGCACAATGCAGAAAGCCACAAGGAATGTTTCTGTAGAGCTGTACGAGCTGTAGAGAGTTCAGGAGCTGCTGATCGGGACACTCACCTTTAGCCCAAATCAGTTCAGCACCAATGTTTCATGTTTTGTCACCAAACACGGACTGCACCCCATGAAAGCTCCCGCCATGGCCGTGAGCGGGACAGCACCTCAGGTGATGTCAACAGCTGTGGCTTGGAACTCACGGCTGATCGGGACACTCACCTTTAGCCCAAATCAGTTCAGCACCAATGTTTCATGTTTTGTCACCAAACACGGACTGCACCCCATGAAAGCTCCCGCCATGGCCGTGAGCGGGACAGCACCTCAGGTGATGTCAACAGCTGTGGCTTGGAACTCACGGGTGGCTGGATCCCTCACCCCAGAGAAGGAACCACCGTACAGAACACAACATTTTATGTCTGAGCACAGGCTTTACACGGAAACTGACCCTCTCCTGCTATCGTGTGGAAGTGTGTGCACATACAACTATTCCAAAGGGAAAATGCTCCCCAACCTTCATCGCAGAGGCAGCGTGTGCCTGTGCCCCACTGAAGGTGTTCTTACAGACCCCAGAGGCCCTGCTGCAAGATGCACAAGCTGTCACTGATGAACAGCACAGCAACTCAGGCCATTTGCATTTTAACTATAACCCATGCTTTGAACCCGATTGTTAGAAATTGCTCATTGTTGGAAACTGACCCTCTCCTGCTATCGTGTGGAAGTGTGTGCACATACAACTATTCCAAAGGGAAAATGCTCCCCAACCTTCATCGCAGAGGCAGCGTGTGCCTGTGCCCCACTGAAGGTGTTCTTACAGACCCCAGAGGCCCTGCTGCAAGATGCACAAGCTGTCACTGATGAACAGCACAGCAACTCAGGCCATTTGCATTTTAACTATAACCCATGCTTTGAACCCGATTGTTAGAAATTGCTCATTGTTATTTGGTTCTTCAGAAAGCAGTTAGTTACCAGCACATGAGAAGCAATTTACAAGTGCTGCATTTTGAATGAGGAACTGAAAATGAAGTGGAAGAGGAGAAAAGCAAATGACTGAAAGCGTAACTTATAATCACAGGCAAATTACAGCAACGAAGTAGGGAACAGGAACAGAACACATGCACCAGGAGAACTGCAAGAAAACAATTCTTCAGTTCTTGAGTTGTCCCATGCTTATTTCCTAGTGGTAGAGCAGATCTGTAGCCAGGCAACCTACCTTGGTAAGTCCCAGGTGCCTGAGGATAGCCATAGGGGACTTGATTTCCTGGTGCATAGTCAGGATTTGGAAATCCAGGTGCTGGTGCTGGGTTATATGCTGGAAGAATGGAACATATAATTTGAGTATTGCTCATTTCCTCCTACCCTATGGTGCAAGATCCCCAGCATTGCCTCCTTTTGCAGAGGAGACACATAACAAAATTAAGCAGCTGTTTTCTGTATAGCAAAAATTGTACAACAAGCTCGTATTTATGCACAGTATGTATATTAAACATCAATGTAACTTAAAGGAGTTCTGATACTTAAACTGCAGAAAAAAAGCAGCTATTATACGTGATGTCATGAAGATGTCACAGAACCATCTAGCTTGGAAGGGATCTCTTGAGATCACCTAGTCTAACTCCTGCTCAAGCAGGGTCAGTTCACTCTCTGTCTGGACCAGAGGTGCCTCTGTTCATTTACATAAAGAAGGAGGCTTTCATTCAAAGAATTGCCAGGGAACTGACAGGCTGCCCTCCTGTACAGAAAAGACTGGTAATGAGCCATTCTCCACTATATAAAATATTTTCTCCCCAATTTCTTCAAGTTAGGACTATACTATGCCTCACCGACAGACTCAGGCAACTTAAAGGAGTTCTGATACTTAAACTGCAGAAAAAAAGCAGCTATTATACATGATGTCATGAAGATGTCACAGAACCATCTAGCTTGGAAGGGATCTCTTGAGATCACCTAGTCTAACTCCTGCTCAAGCAGGGTCAGTTCACTCTCTGTCTGGACCAGAGGTGCCTCTGTTCATTTACATGAAGAAGGAGGCTTTCATTCAAAGAATTGCCAGGGAACTGACAGGCCGCCCTCCTGTACAGAAAAGACTGGTAATGAGCCATTCTCCACTATATAAAATATTTTCTCCCCTATTTCTTCAAGTTAGGACTATACTAGGGTTATAGTTAGGGTTATAGATTTAAAAACCATTTACCAAGTTCAGTTTGTAAGCAGAAATAACTTGAATTTCAAGATTATTTATTTATTTAACTTCAGAACTCAAGATCTGAAAATATAAGCTTTACGTTTTTGTTCAGTTTGTAAGCAGAAATAACTTGAATTTCAAGATTATTTATTTATTTTATTTAACTTCAGAACTCACGATCTGAAAATGTAAGCTTTACGTTTTGCAAATTATTAAATTTTTAAATGTAAGTAATTTCAATTCAGAACATTCATATATATTTCATACAATTAGAAGGTAAGCTAATAGCTAATATTGCTTGACTACCTCAGAAGGACCCATGTTATCTCTGATATTAACAAAAGATGACATTTTGTTTCTATTTTACTCACCTTGCATTGTCGTGGATCTGCTTACAATTGTTCTGCAAAACAACATTTTTATTTCATAGTTTTTTAAATACATAATTCCACACAGGACTCACTCAAAGTTCTCTATTTATTATTGATAAAAGATACTTTCCTGTCTAAACCATATGGGAAAGCTGAATTACAAATACAAACTAAAATAACTTTAAGGCTTCCTTCTAGGCCATGTCCCACCACAACTCAAGTCTGCATTGTCTGTGCCTGCATTTATGCTTTGAGTACCCTGAAACCAGCCTAAACTCAGAGGAAAGCATCAGGATGTGCAATTATTTCATTACAGTGCAGGACTCCATTGTGCAGCTGTTCACAAACATCATGCAATTTGTATGAACAAATTACTGCAGTAATGTCAGAGGAACTGGTTTAGTGCATTGACGTTAGACTACAAAACCTGCTTGGGTAAATCCTGGAGCAGCCGTGATGCCGTACCACCACCTGTTCACTTCTCTATACTATTCCACTTCTTAAGTGGTACTACTAAATACCACATATGCAATTTTTGTCTCCACACAGTAATAAAGGGTGGGCTTGCACAGGCAAGTGGGCTTCCACAGCAGAGTATCATGAATGAAAGAGCCAACTGCTTGTCTTTTTCTTTCTACTCTTCCAGCATTGCCAAAAGAAGTTAAACAAAAACAAACACAAAAAAAACCCCAAACAAACAGAAAGAACATTTACTGATGTCAGCATCAACCTTGAGAGATATTCCTTTCAGTCTCTGGGGTAACAAGAGAAGCAGGATGATGACAGCAACTTCTATTAAAAACAGAGCTCCAAAATATCCAGGAGATCTGTAAGTGGAAGTATGAATAAGGACAGCATAGGAGCTCCTTTTCATAGGATCAAAAGCCTTAAAACAAACAATAAACCCAGTTATTCTTTAAGAGTAATGCAGTTCAAGTTAAAATAGTAATTTATTTGTCTGTTAGGATTCTTCCAAGTCGTTCAGCTGAAGGAACATGGTTGTTCAAAGCTGGGAATGAAACTGAAAGTAGCTCCTTCCTGCTTTTCACTCACAGGGCGTCGCAGGAGAGTTTAATGGTTCTGGGATGACATGGCATCTAGTTCACTTCCCAACTCACACATAACATCCTCTTTGTTTAATAAATCGGTCTTAAAGTGTTCCTTTTTTAGTTGTTTTTTTTCCTTCTACTTTACCAGTTTTCACTTCCCAACTCACACATAACATCCTCTTCATTTAATAAATCTGTCTTAAAGTGTTCCTTTTTTAGTATTTTTTTTCTTCTACCTTACCAGTTCTACTAACAAAACCACCATCTTTAATTGGATTCTGGTCCCTATATGAATACAAGTTAAAAAAACCATAATAATTTGAAGTTATACTACTACTTTAAGAATCTGAAAGAACACATTCAAATGACATAGCTTAAACCTTATTCTCACAGTTGGTAATATAAAAAGCCAAATTTAATATAGAACCATATTAAAGTATGTTGCCAAAGCTACTATTCTTGTAGGAATAGCCCAAATTAAAGATGAATAAAAAAATGTTATTTAAACTAGCAAAAGATCAGTTTATACTGTGATATCTTCCACCTACCTGAACTTCAGTGAAATACTGAGAATTACAACTAAAGGGAGGGTGGAGACAGAATCATATGATTTATTTAAAATAAAGTCTTTACAGTGGCCCAGAATCTTTTTTCTCCCTACAATCACACATATACGCTGCTGTTCAATCTAGGATTTAGCAAATGTTGATACGCTCTATAGCTAGAAAATCAACAAAGATTTTACAAAGATCAACTCTCATTTCATCAGCCATAATGCTAAAGAGAATATTAAGCTTATTTCTTTTAATAAAATTGTCTCTTTTCTTCTATTCCTTTTTATCTAGGTGCCTTCTATCACCTATAATTCAGTCATCAAGAGTAACACATTGTCATTCATGCCCCGCTTTTCATCTGAATGATTTATAAAGATTGTGAAATAACATAAAATTCTGAAACACCAAAGAAATGAGGAACAAAACCTCGCTTTCATCAACCCTTATATTGCACAATATATTGTTCAGCTGCGTTGTTCCGCATGCGGGAAATTCCCATCTGGTGAAATCTCAGTCAAGAAACAGTAGTAATGGGAAGCCCAGTCACTTAGAAAGGAGTTGGTACCAGCTGCCTGAGTCACGCAAAGCAATGATCTGAAGCCTACATTTTCATTTCAGTTTAATAAAATGAGGCTTTACCTGCTTCTAGATGCTACTAGTTCTAGCAACAGTTTTAAAACAAACATAGGGAACAATCACTGAAATGTTACTTACCTAGCGTGGAAAAGTAAAGGTATTTGCATTTAGCTCCCACTAATAGAAAAGTGGAAGAATGCTATTTCTTTGTAACGGAGTTGAAATTCCACAGAGTTAAAGGAAAAAATAAATAAAGGAAGTACTTAATCAAATAGAAGTCCATTACTGAATTAATTTTGGTTCAACAAAAGCAGTAGCTGCACAAACCCTGCGTGCTATGCTGGGCACATGCTGCAGCCTGAATCCACGAGCTGAATGGAGAGTAAGCTGGAGTGGCAGGAGTAAGCCAGCCACGGTGTTCCAGCAGCACCAGCTGTCTATCTTTGCCTACATCACATAAAAAGCTTTTACAAGGCCCTAAACAATCTGATCTAAATTTGAATTTAGGCTGGCTTTAAACAGAGAAAGAGACCAAATGTTATCCTTTCCGAGCAAATTATACCAGAATTGTAAGGGTCCTTCACATTTGATTACATTACCTGAGGTCTTTGCTTATCAAACATTCTCCAAACCCCCCGGCTGGAGCGCAGAGGGGCGAGAGGAGGCTGGGGACCAGGCTGTGGCTCCCACCACCTCACCCCTCACTGGGGCTATTTTGGGTTAGGGCTGTGTCGGAAAAAGCAGCTGAGTTTTGCCCTTTCCGGGCAGCGAAAGGGAGTGCAGATAAGATACAAACATCCTCTCTCCTCCGGGCAAGGGGACATACCTGGGTTCAGCTTCACACCAGGGAAAGCAGAAGTGATTTTGGCAAGAGGAAGGAAGCGCAGGACTGGAAATGCTTTCTGCGAAGTGGCTGCTTGGTAATGAGTAATGTTTATGAAATAAATGCAGTCTCTGGATGGTCTGAGGCCCCCTCACTGCGCCTGTGTGACAGACAGACAGACACACACAAAACAAACCCACCTTAACTGCCTGGACCAGCCATTCAGCTGCGGGTTATCAAGCTGACAGGAGACCCTCACCCCTCAGTTGCTGTACTGCTCATGAGAGAAGGGGCTCACACGAAGAAGCCTCATTCTTCGTACCCTGTCCCTATATGTTTTACTGTCTAGAATCCATATTGCCAGCCTTACTCCTCATCCAGAGCAGTTCCCAGACTTTTTTTCCCTTGCAGTCAGCTGCTGTGATAGCCTAAACCCTCTCACCCACACACCCAACCCGGTCCTCACCTTCTCCTTACTTAAATTGTTTCTCAAATGGGTAACATGGAAGCAACACTCAGAGGCATCCAGGTGCCCAGGCACAGTGGCTTCCCTCCTCCAAGAGTTTAGAGCCTGGACACTTAAGGACAGCCAATAATTTTGGGGAATGAAATCGAGAAATACCGGAAGGAAATACCGGTTCCAAAAGAAGTCAGAACAAAGCTGCTCTAGTTCAGAAACCAGTGAGGAAATAACATCCCTGGATTGTTCCTTTCTAAGGAATGGCAGAATGCCCGCATTTCTTTTCAGTCACTTTCTCATTTTTAGAACCGCATTATACAACTCCATCTCCCTTTCCCTGATGTCATTAGATACACTGCAACTGATTTAGAAAGCTTCTGGTTTTTATCAGAAAAACATATACTAGCACGACAATCAGTTTCGTTTCTTACCAGCTCACTAAATACTCCCAAGAGCAAATTTACATAAGCTGCCAAACACAAATATCACGCATGGTGCCATTTAAATACCAAGCCTGACCCTTTCCAAGGTTTACAATTCAAAAAACATACTTAGAACGCCAAACACCCATGAGGTATGCATTAGTTCACCCTAGCTAGCTTTGTGGCATTCATTTTCATCCTCACGTTATATTAAACTATTCAGCCACTAGATTTTAACCTTTACTGCTGGAAAAACAGTATACTTAAAAATACTCTAGTTGATCTAATTAAGCAGGTTGTTTCTGCTAAAGCTAAAAGAAAAACCAGCCTTGACAGAAAGAACGAAGTGAGCTATAGGGTAACAAAAAATGATTTTGTTCTGATGCAGTGAGGTACCATCTCCCCTTATGTAGGCACCTCTCCTGAAACCTGAGAGCCCCAACACCCGAGAACCAAAAATACAGCTGCCACTCTGGGTATGCAGCCTCAGGGCGAGGAGGGCACATCTCTAGAGCTTCCCTGCTGGGTGCCAGGACCACCATCCCCAGAACCGTGCTCTCCTGCGCTCTCCTCCCCAGAGTGGGGCTCTCCCAGGACAGCCTTGGCAGCAAGATCTTCCCTTAAATCACTCTTTGCAAGCGAGTTGCTTGGCTAAAGAGAGACACGTCCTAATTGATATGCCCAATCCCCAAGTGGAAAAGGCTGCCCTTCTAACCATCAGGTCCATTTCACCGCCCTGCTTGAATCTTGGCAATGAAAAAAAACACAAGACACCTGCAAGGACCACCCAGGAGACACCATACACGGCAAAGAGACTTATACCCACAGCAAAAAAAAATAAATTACCCGTTCCCAAAGCCGACCTGAGCCCCGTTTCCAGCCGCCCCGCTCCGCGGCGCCCGGCGCTGGCGGAACACCCCGCTGCGGGCGGGAACTACGCGGGGCCGCCCCCTCCCGGGGCAGCGCGGGGGCGGGGAGCCAGCGCACTGCCTCGCTTCCAGGATTAAAGATAAATAAATTAAAAAAAAAAAGGATGTTTATCAACTGAGAAACACGGCCCGAGAGCGGCGGCGCAACAACCGCATCCTCCGGCCCGCAAAGCACTCCGCGGGTTTGAGCGCTCCTGCGGACTCGTTTACTGCCCTCTTTTGCCATGGCAGGGGAACGGAAGGTCAAATCTTTTTCTTAAAATTAAGCGGTGCAGTGTTTTTAGAAGGTTTGGTTTCGGTTTTTATTTTTGCCGAGCCAGAGATTTAAGGCAGCAGCAATGTCTCTCTCCGTGTAACTTTTACAACTAAAATAACAGCGGAGTTCTTTCATTGAGGAGGTCGGGCAGTTCCAACTTGCCTGTGTAACTATCCTGGTTCCTATGTACATCAAATCATTAAAATCCTAAAAAAAAATTTTAAGAACTCTTAGGTTTCCTATAATCTCACACCATCACCATTTCCTGTCTACATCAAATCATTAAAATCCTAAAAAAAAAAATTAAGAACTCTTAGGTTTCCTATAATCTTCACAGCATCACCATTTCCTGTGTGAAAAGGTTTCCACTGTGACCTAAATAACTCTGCAAAGACAGCTGGTTTCTGTGAAATAACCTGTTGATGGAAGAAAAAAAAATAAAACCCTAAGCCTTTGATTACCCTGATGCACCAGTTCTGACAGATTTCCTAAAAACACAGGTGATTTGAGGAAATTACTACCTTATCTTTGGCTCATTCTAATATCATTAATATGACATTAATAGGTACATTAATACGTATCGATATGATACTATTTGGAGAAATACAGACAGTGCAGTGCATTCCTGCTTGAGGAAACACTTTTTAAGACTGAAAAGGTCCAAGGTTTCCTTAAAGTTTCCTATAACTTTTAAAGTTGGTTTGGTTTTTTTTTTTACTTCAGAAAAAATTGCCTCTAGGCACCTGCCCCAAAAATGAGTCTTACCAAAAGGGATAGTTTTGTGATGCAGAATCCAAACACACACAATTTTGAGAAGAGGGGCACCTATTAATTTGTTTACTTTTTGATAACAACTTTAACCATGGAAGGTGAAGCCCAAGAAGGACAGACAATACTTTAATAAGTCTGACTGTATACAAATACATTTTGTGTGTGGTCTCAAGTTTACTATACTTTCCTGCTTCCATGTAGGCTCTGTGGATCCGCGCTCACTGTCCCTTATTCATTAGCAGCCTTTTAGTGACGAAGAATGGGGAGGTCTGAAACCAGAGTACCAGGAAAGCTGCTGAAGGCCTTTCATGTAAACATAGTTGGAGTTTTAGACGCAGATGATCACTTTAAAAC